GTGACTGACAGGTGTTGCCTTTTATATTGAAGGTTTAATTAGCTCTAAATATCTACCTGTAAAGATTGCATTTCTCGCTAAAAAAAGGATAAACCAACATGAAAACAAGAGAAAAGCAAGATATTTTGAAGCTGAGGAAAGAGCCACTGGACAAATATTCAGCATAATCAACGCAATAATTTAGTATGTCCTGAAAAAGAAACTGTTAATGTACTAAGCAACAGATATAGAACAGGACGACCAAAGAAAACAGCAACAGTTGACGAGAGAAATATTGTTAGAGCTGTGAGGAAAAACAAATCAAAACAACAGTCAGTGATATCACCAACAATCTCAATGTTGCAAGGGTGGTTTGAAGTCTTCGAGAGTAGAAATATAGATGTCATACCACAAGATTCAAACAACTCTTTAGTTTTATATCTCAGAGCTTATTATTTTTTAAATTTTTCCTTTTGTGTCTGTGAGAAAGGCTATTATTAAAAAAATGTTCTGAACTAGTTCTGCGTCGAAGCGAGCTTGCGCCGAATTGGACTTGCGCTGAAGATGGTCTGCGCCGAAGTAAGTCTGCGCCGAAATAAGCCGGCGCCGAAGTGAGCCTACGCCGATGTAGGCCTGCGCTGAACTTCTGACGCCGAAGTGTCCTAAACACCTCAAAAATTGTTTCATCAAACCCAATTTTATATGAAGTAGTAACAAAATTATGTTTTCCTTGGCCACTAAAACCTTACATATAACATTATGTGAACCAATTGTTGAGATAGTTCTTAATGGGGATTCTCTCTCTCTCTCTGTGTGTGTGTGTGTGTGTGTGTGTGTGTGTGTGTGTGTGTGTGTGTGTGTGTGGTGTTCACCTTGAGATCAGCTGTCTCACTGACACGAAAAACACATAAATTTCATATAGGTTTCCTGTAATCCATTCAGAATAACGATTAGCTTAATATTTGCAGAGAGTAACCACTGATGATCATTGTATTTAATTTTGGTTAAAATAAATCAAAATTTTCGTGAGATTCTTTTAAAACAACAGAATAAGATAAAGGAATCGATGGTGGTATATTTCCAATATGCAAAAGCATTACTTTATTGCAATTAAGATAGGCATCAATAAACAGCTGCCACTGAGTCGGCTCATACTGTATATAAATTGCTTCAAAAGAAAATATTTTTGTAAAGTGTCCGCATTACTAAATTCCTCTCTTTTAGCCTCGAAGCTATCAGCTCATTCTGCTGTTTTTTAAGGCTAAATCTCTTACAAGATCATTAAGATCATGCTGTGACAGAGGTTTTGTTGCATGTGTGTTGCATAGGTATCGTCTTTTTGTCCAGGAAATTCATTTTCTGATTCGTCTGAAACAGACACGACAATTTCCGTTGATGGTTCAGGCACTGAAGCTTCTTCTGAGAGGGTTTGCAGGCCGAATATCAGATTTAACTTTGGGATATTACCACGGATGAAGCAAGTGTGAGTTTCTTCTGAATAGCCGAATAGCAGATTTAACTTTGGGATATTATCACGAATGAAACAAGAGTGAGTTTCTTCTGAGTGGGGTACAGGTCGAATAGCAGATTTAACTTTGGGATATTACCACGGATGAAGCAAGAGTGAGTTTCTTCTGAGTGGGGGTACAGGCCGAATAGCAGATTTAACTTTGGGATATTACCACGAATGAAACAAGAGTGAGTTTCTTCTGAGTAGGGTACAGGTCGAATAGCAGATTTAACTTTGGGATATTACCAAGGATGAAGCAAGAGTGAGTTTCTTCTGAGTAGGGGTACAGGCCGAATAGCAGATTTAAGTCTGTGATATACCACGGATGAAGCGAGAGTGAGCTCTTCAGACGAATAGTAGATTTTAACTTTGGGATATACCACGGATGAAGAACTCTTCATTGTTATACCTGAAGTAATGATGAATAGACATTAAACATATGTCTACTCTAATCTTAATGTGTATGATATCATAAAAAATGTTCGATGTGTTTTAGTATTGAGGCTTAATAGCAATAAAATATACTTACATTATATGTCTACTAAACAAAAGTAACAGTCAGTGGCGTGATCTGAGAGTTCACGCCAGTCCTTTGGCATTCCAAATAGAATGTTATTCAATTTTCCTTTCAACCATTTTGCAAGAGCATTGAAGTATGTTGTGGTACTCATGATTTATCTTGGTCGTCAAGTTTGATGCCAAAATATAAATTGTATAGTTTTGTAACAAGAAAGGTAATATTTCTTTTATTCTTTTTAAAAGTTACAGAACCACATATGTAGCAGAATTTATTTGGACTATTTTTACATTTACTTCATGGGATTTTTTATTTTTGTACAATCTGAAATTAAGAAATAAAAAGTTAAATTTTGCGAAAACTTGAAAATATGAAATAAACAGTAATTGCTAACTTACAAAATTCTGGAGTCAATTCGTAAAAAAATGTATGTTATTTTCATAATCGATAGCAAAAACGATCGTAGGAAACGATATTCTCATCTTTGTAGTCGATAAAAAGTTAAATTTTGTTGTAAAGTGTTATTAGTATTACATTTAATTGTGTATATGTACACTTTCGTAGTTTACACTATTTACATTGTTCGGATTGTTGTTCCCATCTTTATTGTCATATTTACGATATTTCGACCGTTGTTATGCACCGGCCTTCTTCTGGTGGTATACGTTGGAATTACGATACGAACCCTTTATTTTCACCGGGGTAGAATGTTTTAGTTCCACGTACCATTCCTTTTTCTGAATATTTCATTTATTTCCATTTAGTAATTAAAATCTCTAAGAGTTTTATTCACCTCTGTTGCGGCCATGTATTGAACTCACAACACTTTAGGTAAAGTCATTGGATTACTTCAACCAACGCTTAAGATATGTGTGAAACTAGAACAATCTAACCCGGTGGACCTTAATTTATTTATTTATTTAGATTTCTCATTTCTGTTCTTTTTTTTTTTTTTTTTGGTTATCATAATTTTTTCTTTGTAAGTATTGGCTTCGAATAAAATATATTAAGATATCAGGTCATCCCATAAGTTCTGTCCGAATTTTAACTTTTTGTTAAAATGAACGAAATTTTTTATAATGTCTAATGGAAAATGCAAAATTTAGAGGTGGAGATTTCACCCTTGAAGATGAAGATCGAACCGGACGTCCAGTTGAGTTCAATGAAAAGATTCTTGAAGCAGCCCTTGAAGAAAATCCTGCTTTATCAGTTGAGGAATTGGCTGTGGTTCTCAGTTCAAACCATACAATTGTTCATCGTCATCTTCAAAAACTTGGAAAATGGGCACCTCATGAACTGTCTGGAAACAAAAATGGGCTACCATTATCACCAATTTGTTTCACCTTTTTGGATAGACGTGTCTGGAACTTTTCAAATCCTGAGTTGACATCTGCCCTTGGAACTCTCCAAAAGGTTCTTTCAATCTGGTGGGATCGCAACTTGAAATTTCCACCTTTTTGGATATGCTGACAATTAGAGAGTTTGAACCAGGCAAAAAAAGACGAAAAATCGAAAAGAGGTGATGTTTCATGGACAATGCTTTCATCGAAGAAATTGTTGGGAGAAAATTCCTCATCCACCTTATTCTCCCGTCGTAGACCATTTGTTTGGTCTTACAGAATCATTTAGGAAACCCCAGCCACAGGAAGAGGTTAAATGGAACTTCGAATCAAAGTTTTTACAGTAATAATTAGGGGAAAATACACTGTTGAATGAACACAATCCCACTGTTCTTCTGTCCATATGACGTGTTCAGTGGCAAATTTCAATCGGCTTATTTGATTCTTTTTAGAAATGTAAGGCTTCGTAGAGGATACTCGACTGTTCAAATTTATTTCATTAAGTCTTCGGGAAATTGTGTGCCTTGATATTTTAATGCCAAGGTTAGCATTAGCTCTTTTAGAAATAGCGGTTGCTGTCGCAAATCGAGCGTTTTTTGATTCATTACCAATCTATCTGTCTCCCCTTGCAGTAGTTTTCTTAGACCTGCCAGGTGGTTTCTTGGGATCACATGACCCAGTTTCCTCAAGTTTTCTTAAAATACTATGAATAAGACTTAGATTTCCCCACAGTCTTTGAAATATCCGCAATCGAGGGTTTATCTTCATTACATAACTTGACTATCAGTTTTCTAAGTTCCAATGACGTCATAGATTTTTTTTGCCATGTTTACAATGCAAGAGATAGTAAAGAGTCGGTTTAATTTACTAAAATTACCCTATTTTATATTCTTACCCTAAAATATTTTCAATAATGCGCACAAAAATAACAACACTTTTCAAGTCATTATCGATCATGGGACAATATATTAATATTATTGTGTTTTATTTATATCTATGTGGCGGCGAGCTTATATAAAGCGTCGGAATATTTAAATTTGTTCTTCCTAGATAATTTGATGGCAAATAGTTTTTCACCGAAATAAAAAATAAACATTGATAGATTATTTTAAAACTGAAATGTCGTTTGACCATAATGTGAAAGAAAATAAAAATATAAAAAACAGATTTTGAAACAGAGTGAACAGTGGATTTTATTTTCTTAATAGAATTGTTTTTAGAAAAGAATCGCTGTAAAAAGATATTTACAAAATCCAAAGGTTGCGTGAGAAGAGATGAGTAGCGTGTATAAAGGAAATGGTTCATAATTCCAAACTAAGGAAATAATATTGAATTCCCCGTGGTTTTTGAGAAAATATTTTTTACTAATTAAAAAATTATATATGGAAAAATACTGAGCAAAGTCGTCAATAGTTTATTTCAGCATATCTGCTTAACCATTTCATTAGAGTTGTAAACATAATCGACAAGATGCATGGCAAATTAAACTCATTCTGCAAAACTGTCGATCAGTTATTTATTTCTTAAACTAATTTATTTTATTCCAGAAGATTTCTTTTCATTACATTAAACATTTCCTCATTGAACTTTTCAGTTTATCCGTATTTTTTATTCTAATAAAATTCATGATGCAAAATGTTTCCATATTAATTCTTTATATCGAGCGATTCAAAGCAGTCTTAGCTTCTAATTGATATTCATCCTTTTCCCTAGAAAAAGAAACAAGTAAACAAATTAGGTTAACGAAATATAAAAAAATATTGTTTGTCATTTCACACAATCAATCAATTGTTTATTATTTTACACTCAGATAATGCCACCACCGGGGTTACTGAGAGTGAAAGAAAAAGAAATTCGTGAAAAGAAAGGACAATAAATTCAGGAAGATAGAAATGAGTCTGACGAAAAAAATTAAACAAATTAACAAATAGAAAAGTTAAAGAACAACACAATCAAGGTTTCACCAGATAGAAAATGAAAATAAATTAGTGAGAAGGAAGGACAATAAAAGCCGAAAGATTGACATTTGCAACTCTTGGGATCATATGTGTAAAAAAAACCCGGAGAGAGCTCCAAAGGCCAGGGGCGTTCTGACGAGCTACATTCCTAAGACTCACAAGTCATGACCTTTACCACTAGGATCCGCCATGTCACGTACACAAAATGAATTATCCTCCTTCCCTACATATTCAAGGAAGAGAGTTTATTAGAAGAACTGCCATGGAAATATTTATAGAAAAGACACGTCACGGCTACGTCACGGCTGTGCGAACGTGACTGAAGTCGAATGCCACTTCAGGACCGATAACATTACAGATCCATCTTTGGATTCTATCGAAAATCTTGAGATATCCAGCAGGAGCTGTAGACCGGGTTTATTTATCAAATATGTACATCTGATGAATCAGAATTTGTCTTTTGTTTTAAGTAAGCTATCATATTAATAAGTTTCTTATTGATCGGTAAGTTTTGATACTGATGTTGTTTATATATATATATATTGTCACTTTACTGAGTTGAGAGAATAAGAAACTTCTTTTGTTGTGTCGTCAATCTTTTCTTATTATTTCCCCTCTACTACCTCTAGGCATTCATTGAAGTCTAGTCCAATCAAATATCATTGCACGTTATCCAAATTGTTCATAATTATTTACCTAATGTTCTCCAATTTTGCTGAAATAAACTACTATTGTTAATATATCGTTTTGGTTTAATATATATTATATTCTTCCCTTATAACAATATAGACAACATATACTGACCCGTAAGTGAGTTTTGTCCCATCAGATTTTAATTTATTAGTGGATATGTTGGTATTTCTCTTCCTACAAACTGAAATGATATTATCATAAATTTACCTAATGTTTCAGATGAAAAAAATCCATCCCAAGGAGATCTATCCATCGTAACTTTTGGTATATTTTAGCCTTACTTTAGTTTCATCGCAATTTACACCTGATTTAATATATACCAACTAGTTGCAATCTTCTCTATATATCTATCCCGTCTCTGTCTCTCTCTTTTTCTTCCTCTCCGATGGGTGGGGCTGTTCATGGTCCTCACCTGCTTATTGCATTGCTTTGCTTAAAGCAATACATTCTCCTTTGTGACCTTTCTTTTATTTGTAGAAATTGTTATTCTGTTATTCTAAAATCTTTAAGGAAGATATTTGCAATTTTCTTTTAGTTCTGTTCACTTTGATTTGCGTCTCTGTATAGTTCTTATTCTACTTAGAAATTGTTCATTCATCGCATAGAAAAGGCAGAAGGAAACCACTCCACTCTCTCTTCGAAATGTAATCCTCACAATTCAAAGCTTGAAAATATCCATCCAAAGTGTACATTAACATTTTCAGTTGATGGCATTTAGTTTTTTTTTTCTTGTTATAACATTTCATTTCTGAGAAGAATAATTGTCAATATTCTTGTATTATTTCGAACTATTGTTCTCATCTTGGTTGATATAGACATTATTATAGACAACGTTTCGACCTAGTATCCTCAGATCATCATCAGGTGTCCATGGATTGGCTGATATGGCATATCTATTGGTTAATGTGATATTTTGTCCTTGGAATATTAGTTACTTTTCGTTCTTGCCGAACTGGTGCGTCACTATCAGATCCAAGGATTAAACTCATGACCACAATATGGCAGTAACTCATGCAAAGCTAACTCCTAAATTTACTGAGTTACCGAAGTCTATAATAATATCTATATGAACCAAAATAAGAACAATAGTTCAAAATAATACAAGAATAACGAGAAATTCTTTACATATATTTTAACATTACTCTGTAAAGTCCACATACCTATTGTTGTCTATGAGTAAAATGGCCTGTTGCTACTGTCTTGGATGTTTAGGTAACTAAGGGAAAGGTGTTAATCCAAGTGATCACACATCTACTTTATTTCATTATATGTTAATATTTCTTAATCCACTCATCACATTTTGCTAACGACAGTGGTTATGTTATGAAAAATTATTAGTGAAAAGACACAATTCGAAATCTATTACTCTATGTTGCTTTTAATGTCTCTACTCGCATACAAATATCAAAATGTTTTTACCTTATAGACCCAGTATTTCGTCTGCTAAGATCATCAAAAGTATCATTCATGAGTCGGTTACACGTTTCAGGAAGGAAGAAATACGAAACACCAGCTAAAATGCAAACAATTCCCATTGTCAGCAAAGGTAACGAGTCACCAAATCTTCCAGCGGCAAGGGCTCGCTTTTGTAAATAGGAGAAAAAAATAAAGTGTAGAAAGTTCCTTGAAATTAAAATTTAATAATCATAATTGTACTGAAATTTTACGTTTATAGGTTTTCTATAAAAATGTAAATTTAAATACAATATAATATTTCCTACAAGTTGACAGTTAGAAAGTAATTCTCACTGGCATTTTTTAATAATTTCTACCACTGATACCTTGAATATTCACTTTCTAACACACAACTCAATGGTTAAATTCCGACTGGAAATTGTCCCTATCCTAGGAATATCTGTCTTTGTGTAATAAAATTATAAGTAGAATTCTAAACAGTAAGAATTTTCAGATAGATCAAAACTGGTCGGAAATGCAAATTATCTCAACGAGGCTAAAAAAACATTAAGCCGAAAAAACAGAGCAGAAAAACGACTAATCAAATTTAAAGTAATGTGATTTTAATAAGTTTTAAGAAACTATCAAATATTTTCTACGGCAACATAATTTATTTTATTATCGCGTTTTAGTCATAAAATCGTTCCTGTTCATAATGGCCAGAACGAGTGATTTTAGCTTTGAATGCAGTATTTCCGGTCCTTCCATATTTTTTCTACTGTACGTTCCCCTTTTACATTTAGAAAGATTTCTACAACATATTCTTTACATATTTCAAGTATTTTTTTTTTGTTTTCTATCATGAGCATACCATCTTTTGATTTTATGCATCCTGTCGGGATGATTTGTGCATACAATTTCTTTCCTTTTTTATTTTCTTTTCTTCCTTTATTTTTACCTACTGGGTCGCTGATGTTCCTTCTTTCTATTTCTGTAAACTTTTCGTTGAGTCATTTTTTTTTTTTTTTTGCCTGCTTTTCTCTAATGCCCCCGTTTAATACATGTATACTAATATGTCTTTGCATTGTTTTCTGTCTCATTTTCATCATACCGATAATTTCATCGGTCTTCATTTTTTTGTTCTCTCACTTCCAATGTATTATCTCGTTCACCGGTATCACTAAGGCTTCTCTTAATATGTTCAGTTTGGAAATTATAAATTATTACAAATTAAAAATAGATTATAAGCTAATATATTATAAATTAAAAAATGAAACTAATTATTTAATTATATATATATATATATATATATATATATATATATATATATATATATATATGTTAAGAAATGGACAAGGTCCGACAATTTATTTATTAAAGACATTTTTATTTATGTTTAACGTTGTTATTTTATAGATACAAGTATTTAAGCAAATGCTCTGTTTATGATAAACAGTATTAAACAGGCCGGTAAATGTTATTTAATACTGTTTATCATAAACAGAGCATTTGCTTAAATACTTGTATCTATAAAATAACAACGTTAAACATAAATAAAAATGTCTTTAATAAATATATATATATATATATACACCCATATGTGTGTATTTTTAGGCAGCATTTTCGCATTCAAGTATGTTTGATTAAATAATTTATATGTATTATGACTATTTTAGTTTTAATCCTTTCAAGTCCACGAATTAATTTTTATTGGCTATTGAAAATTGATTAAGAAAACTTCAAAAACTTTCTTTCGAATAATTTTTATTTTCCAAAGTACTTTCAGTCTCATCTGAGACCATCTTCATTGGGTTGCATATCTATGGATGTGTTATGCTTTAATACCGCAAATTCAAAATATTTTTTATATCTATGCAAGGGGGTAACTTTATGAGTTTTTTATAAAGATGTTTTTAAAAAAAACCTTTTAAAATAATCAAATTATTTATCTCCCTTGCATAGAGTTAAAAAATATTTTGAAAGTATGGTGTTAGCGCATAACACATTCTTAGATATGCAATCCCTGAAGACGGTCTCAGATAAGATTAAAAGTACTTGGGGAAAATAAAAATTATTTGAAAGAGACATTTGGAATGTTTCTTAATCAATTTTCTACGGCCATTAAGAAATTAATTCGTGGACATGAAATAATCAAAACGAAATATATGTACCATCATCATGATGTATGGAGCAATGACACCACCAAATCTGGCAAAGGTTGACAGAGCTCCAAGTGCTCCGTTTCTCACACAGGTGGGGTACAATTCACAGGTGTGTAGGAAGACAATTGCAAATGATCCTGTAACGCACAACTTGCTTATAGTAGCCAGTAATGTTGTAGTCCATTGTAAATCTGGATGAAGAAAGAAAAATAAGTTATACCAATTTAAAAATATCTGGTAAATATTCACAAAAGTTCTCAGTGTAAAAAGTACAGAACACTCTAGACAATAGAATATTCAAAATTACGACGACAGATTAAAAATTCGTAATAGAAAATTAAGTAAATATTTAAAACATATCGTGCCTCTTTCTCATTTTTTGCAACAACTATAAATATATATATATTGATAATATTAGTGGTAAATATACACATACACATTTTTATTATTAAAGATAAGAATCAAGATGAGGTGCAAAATCTTCGTAGTGAGATATTTTCTAAATGTAGACATAAGAAACGATTCAAAACAAACACCGTTTTATAACGTGTTGTCACTTATGTCAATTCCATCTTGGTTCAATAACATCGGGCATTACATTTTAATGGAATGACTATTATGTTTATCTATATATATCATTGTGTATGTTTGTGATGCGCAATGTATTTATTTATTTTTTTGGGAGACAAAATTTTTTTAATTTTACATTTTGATTTATATATAGATATGTATATGTGCGTACATGTGTGTGTATATGTGGATATATGTAGGAATGTATATATATATATATATATATATATATATATATATATATATATATATATATATATATATATATATATATATATATATATATATACGTATATGGATGTATGTATGTATATGTAGGTAGATGTGTATGTAGATGTCTGTGTATGTTTAGGTATGTATGTATACATATATATCTGTATATGGGTGTATATGTATGTATGTATAGTTAGACGGATAGATAAAGGGATACATTGTTTATTTTTTTTAGATGGGTGTATGTAATTGTAAGGTTTTTGTATATATGTTTATGTGCACGAATGTGTATGTCCGTATGTATATATGTGTTTAAAATATATATATATATATATATATATATATATATATATATATATATATGTAGGAGTGGATGTGTATGTATGTATGTGTATATGTATGTATGTGTGTGTATGTATATATATATATATATATATATATGGGTATGTGTGTACACGCCTATATGTATGTATGTACGTGTAAATATAAATATGTTGTTGTGTATACGCTTGTGTTTTTGAACATAGAAATATAGGTCCTTGCTAGATTAGATAGTTGTTTTATTTGTTTTTTATATGTTTATATTTGATTTGTAACCTGTAGTCGATATTACTTTTGTCAAATTTTCTTAATTACACAGCGGTCCTTTTAATAAATGCCCCTCGGTTTTAGTTTCCCCCACCCCATCTCTCTCCCCCCAACCCTTTTTCTCTTTTTTTTCCTTTTTTCATTTCTTTTCCTCTCCCTCTCTCATGTTCTTTTCCTCTCCCTTTCTCATGTTCTTTTCCTCTCCCTTTTTCAAGTTCTGATCTTTAAAATTAAATTGTCTATTGTGTGTGTGTGTCACCACAAAATGTATCTTTTCCGGTATATCTTTAATGTTTTAGACATCTGAGAATATTCATATGTCTCTCACTTAAACCGTCTTTGACTCCCCTCTTTAAAACTTCTCTCTGTTAAATTTTAATCACCCCTTCATCTTTAGACTTTCCTGTTCTTCTCTCGTCTGTTACCCCTCCCTATAGCTTTCATTTACTCTAACATTCGTCCTACACTCTCATACATACACTCTCACTAAATTTTATATTTTATTCCAGGAGTTGTTTTTTCTGTTTTCTTTTTGAATTTGTAGGCCTGATGAATTGGATCGTATTTACGATTCCAATGGAATAAATTATGACCATGGAATATTAGTGTTTAAGCCTTTTTATGATATATATATATATATATATATATATATATATATATAGATAGATATATAGATAGATAGATAGATAGATAGATAGATAAGTGAGTCATATTAGAATCCTTCCGTAGTATAGGATCACAGCCTCTCTACGCTTGTTTTGTTAATGCGGTTAGACCCACGTTTTGAATTCAGAGTTATCCTTCTGCTATACAGAATGCTAACAAAGGCGAACGTGCCAAGTCTTTTCTGTTATTCAACCAATAGGCGGTGAGAGAAATGCTTTCATTCTTTTTCGAAGTGTGTTTGTACGAAAATAAATTCATTTCCCTCAATCGTAGCTTAAACTCGTCATGCCTGGTTCACATTCCTTGCCATTACGTACATACTAATATCATTCTTGAAAGAAACAAATACATATACATTTGGCAGTAATTATAATAATAATAAAATCAATGACAATAATAAAAAGCAGCACCAATGGTGGTAGAGATGGTTATGAAGTGATTGTTCTTAAAAGTGGTAGCAGCACTACTGATAGTGAAAATAATAGTAGTTATTTTTGGTAGGTACATAAAGTATTAACAACAATACTAATAGTGAAAATAGTAGTAGTTTTTACAAAATAATAATTTTGAATTGTTAATGGTTTTATCTCTCGTGATGGCTGTACTAATTGTTATGGTGGTGGTTGTGTGTGTAGGGGTGGTGGTAGTGTTTGTAACAGTGCTAGTAGTGTTATCGATCTGTGTTAATTGTTATAGTGGTGATTGTATTTATGAGGGTGGAGGTAGTGTTGGTAACAGTGCTGGTAGTGATATTGATTCCTGTTGGTGGTTAAGATTTAGTGGTTTTAGTGTTCTTGTGATTTAGTGTTCTTATTACCATCATCATCGTTACCATGGTTACTTCAACTATTATCATAATTGCCATTCTTATTATTGTAATATATATTTTTGTCATTATTATATTATCGTTTCCATCATAATTAAGACTAAATTTACTGTTTATCATAACCAATAACATATCAATAATTATAATTAATATATCAATAATAATATCACAGTTACTATTACCATTACCATAATCACAATTGTTAATAATACTCCATCAGTTAGCGTTGCTAAAAATACAAACATCATCATCATCATGTCCACAGACAGAACTCAACTCAACTTAACCAACGTGATGGTAGTGGACACAGACCAATGAGTGTGGGTACTCGTCTCTATATATGTAGGTATGTGTGAGGAAATGTGAGCTTCTCTGACGGTGCGAACGGCCGATCTGAAAAACGTCAATACCACCCCCACCTGTTCCTCCCTGTTAAGAGAACATTGCTACATATGTAACGCTAGAGTCTCGACACTGAAATAAAATGACAATTGCGTATATATGTATGCTGTGTATCTGTGCCTAACATCAGATTATTTATATGGGTGTGTTAGGACGAATTCATATGCATATACCTGTATGTATGTGTGTCTATGTATGTGAGAGTGTCATCCCAAATAAACACAGAATATAATTTCTCGCTCCACCACCCACAAATTATCAAGTACAAATACGCATTAGTAGATCCACTTAAAAAAAAAATAAACTCGTTTGTCTGATGATCGCAAAAGCGTATTAGGATTACAAACTAATATCCATAAAACTGAATATGTTAGCTCTATCCAAGATATTGAGCACTTTCCACTAAGTACCGCGCGCACGCACACATACACACACACACACACATATATATATATATATATATATACTGAGAGAGGGGGATATAGAGACAGAGAGGTAGATCCCCAAGCAAGCCGATAATGCCACTAAGACACCAAGTGTTAGTGTGGGCTTTAGTAAGGAGAAAGGATTATCAAAGTACAGATTTCATGAGAACAGAAGATGTCAATTGACTTTTACCATTTTTGAAGTCCGTAGGTGGCAGGGGAACAAGAAATCGGACGGGAGTTCCACAGGCGTGTAGTGCAAGAAACGAAACTATTAGAATAGAACTTACCGTTGTATCTGATTTCTCTGAAAATGCAGTACATAGCCTTCCTTTTGTGATTATATAACTTTATAAAATGAATATAACCTGTCTTTTTTTTAAATATATCTATCTATATGTGTGTGTGTACAGGAATGTGAATAAAAAAACATAAATCTTTTTTTTTCTTACCATCTTCAGCGTATATAAATGGAAACAGTGTTAGGATTCCGCAAATTCCCCCGATAAACATGAAGGCAATATATAGCTTTTTTCTGCCGAAACGGTCCAATAAAAATATACACGTGAGATACGCAGGAACCTCTACTAGAGCACCAAAGAAGAAATTCAGGAAGATGTTTCCACTCAGATGTTCGGTGTTTAACACTAATCCAAAATACGCAAAACTAACCGCGCACCTGGAATATAGTTTGAAAAAGAAAAAAATACCATTCTGAAATAGAAAACAATGAATGCGTTGCATTTGTTATTGGCTTATTTTTGCAGCTCATTCGAAAACAAAGAATTTTTGTTTCCTCTAACAGGCAGCGGACTTTTAATTATGCAAACCGGTCATTTTAAACAAAATTTTAAGAGATGCTTATAATAGGAAGAAAATGTAATTCGGTAAATGAAATATATCTATTTAAAGAAACTCAGTTTACTTTGGTTTATGAATCTCAAATAAGGCAGGTATGTTTTATTATGAAAACGATAATGCATTAAAACTTACAATCCTACAGTATAGGGCTAAGTTCACAAACAAACACTTTATTCCATTAAAATTTAATCCATTTAAATTGTTACAGAATGCGATGACCAGAGACAGGATGGTCAGCGATTGGTCAGAATAACTCGTAAGATTGGTTTTCCAACAGTGATGTATTGCCTTTGCCTCGGTATTGAATATATGGCCTGTATTCAACAGAGGGTCACAAGAATGTTGAAGTGTCGATACGCATCCCAGACCCAAATTCAAGAGACAAAATAGATAATGTATTAAGCTTAAAACCGTGCATTGCAAAGCCCAATTGGAGAAATAGGATGAAGAAGATCGTGGCAATCTATCGTTACAGATCATTAATACTAATTAATAATAAGTTCACTTTTCGCTATTGTGACAGAATAATTTAATCTTTTTTTTTAAATACATACACTTTTGAATAGCCAGAGAACGAGAGAAATATTTTATGAAAGACAAGCAGCATTAAGATTCTGATAACTTTAGAATTCGGTATTCAAAATATTACCTTGCTTTTAGCATTACATCCTGAAAAGCATGAAATAAAATTGTGAATTTAAAGGAAAATCTTATCATTACAACGTTCTTCATAACTAAAATATTCCTAAGTATTTTCTTACTAAGTATTTACGTAAATATATTTTAGACTAGAAGAAGTGAACAGGTATGAAATATCCATGAAAACTGAACTCATGACTGTAGCAAAAGATTTGACGAGATTATTTTCTGTCTGGATTACTAGGATGTGGAATTATCATTATTTACACTATTTACATTCGGACTACTGTCCTCATCTTTGTTGTTGTTATGTTTAAGCAGTTTTGCTCTCTGGCCATCATCATATCGAGGCGGGTAACGTACAGGCAATTCCGAACTGAGTTATTTATTTAATCTACTGGTGTAGACTATACTCGTCCCACTGCTCATGTCGGGATATCTCTTCTAGTTTTTATTTTTAGTCCAAGTATTCATTGCCAATCCCAGGAATTGAACCCGCAATTACTCTGTCAACAAATCCATGAAGAAACACTTTAATCCACTCGACTGGGGAGAACTAGGAGACTTAAACCTAGCCTTTCTGCTCATGAGTGTTGCTGCTACTTGTAATGCATCTCTCCACTGACTGAAGATTTTCTCTTTTTACAACTGAGAAAGACAAATGACAACTGCCGAAACGTTGTTGCTCTTGTTGTTATCGAAATAGTCCGAATGTCAATAATGTCAATATTGACGAGACTAGCTTGCTAACCATCAAAGTATTTTGAAGGTTACCAAATAATGGACCTAAATTTCTATAGCGAAATGCACGTCAATCAAATGGACATGTTATAAACGCTAATAATTTGGGAAGGAATGATGAATATAAATATTTCCCCGTGTTTAATGAACTTAAAACGCTGTTCAATATTAAAATCATGTTCGTGAAATATAACATCAAAAGGTTTACCAAATTTGAGAGAGGAGAGTAATCAGTTGCAGATGTAATGGTCTCAAATGAAGTTAAGGAAATATGTGTGCACAATAAAACTCTACCTACTTTCGTATACAACGAGATGGGCATCTTATTCTGTTATATTAATCAAGAAATAGTAAAACTAATAATTTAGCGCCGATGGGCTCATACCTACGGGAGAAACTGTTGGTCATGTAACGAACTTCGCTCAGTAAATTAAAATGTAACTTTCAAAATATGGGGATCGATATGGTATAGAAAATCATCAATAATAAATATATAGAGAAATAAAACGGAAGGATACTTCTAAATTTTTAATTTTACTACTATTAAAATAAATAATAATGATGATAATAATGACCTTGAAGTGGAAATCTCAAATATATGATACATGAAGACTTAAAGTTGTAGCTGGTTCACTCTGATTGCAAAAGGTCCCACTCGTCTAACTGGGGGGGGATTCCTTATAGACCAAGCCTTAAAGTAATACAGAAATGTACTCACAAATACAGCCCACATATTAAAAAGAGCTTTATGTATGTAAAATGTGAGTGATATTAGGTTTTTATTTATTTATAAAAATGATGAGTAGAAAATATCAAGAAGTCATTTATAACCTTAGGTCTGGGATTGAAAAATGAAATCAAAGCAAGTAACAATAATAATTTAAAAAATAGGAAAGAAAAGAGAGTGAGTTTAAAGTTTTCCACCTCATCTGTAAATAGAATAATCATAATATCGCCCATAGATTATCAACCAATCAAAACGTGAAAGAACATTTTCAAGTATTTCAGCTGAATACCTGTATTTAGTCATTAATCATCGTATTATAAAATAACAACGAACGCTTTCGCTGGCAAAATTAACATATTAAAATAACAAACATGGTCGCCAAGTTTACTTGCATTAGGTTTATATAATTTTTGATACAACAAAAGTAACCCTTCCCGTTAAACTCCCTATCGTGATACTAACTTTTTCTTCTAAATCTTTGAGCGGGTTCATTCAACAAAGAAATAAGTCGGTCGGAACTTTCCTCAGCAGCAGGTCACCTGGGTTCAATAGCTCCTTCCTCAGCTTCTGTCTTGTCTGCGTCTCTTGCTGTTTCTCGCTCCAACTTCTCCGTCGTTTAAGCGCTCTTTTTTATGTATTTCATCAATATTCATATCAATTAATTATTTTGGAGAAACGACACTCACCTACAAACAAAGCTTTCCGTTATTCAAATCAATACATTATTCGACATAAAACTTTGTTTATCATTCCTTTTTTATATCCTGACAACAATCGGACTGCGATCGGATAGTTATTCAAAACAATATTTCCCGATAACAAACTTTGTGATTATAAATTATCTCTATATCCTTGTTGTCTAAGAATTTCCTTTCTTGTCGATTTTCCAGTATGACCTATATAATTTTCTGTCCATTTTGCATGTTTACAAAACGATACTTCGCATTGTTTATATTAGCAATTTAGCGAATTCTTAGAAATCCATTTGTCGTTCAGATTATATTTTATATTCCTATTCCATTCCGCGTTCCTGTTTATAAGAAAGAAAAATATCTCTATTTTTACTCCTTTCATACTTCAATTCATGTTTTCACCATAACCCTTTCAATCCTCCAATTCCTATACAATAGTTTTACATGAACTCTTTTAATCCTAATTGATACTACCAGTGTCAAAATAGTGTCACAAATGTAGTACCTACAATATTCTTTTAAAATTAAATCTAAATAATAAAAAAAAAGGGAACAGATATTTGAAGCTTGTATTGTAATACCCACGTTTACAATATTCTCTTGGGGACATGGCACCGAAAAAAAATTTTAACGAGACAATGTTTGCAGTAACTGAAGATTTTCTCTTCTTGTTACAGCTGAGAAAGGCAAATAACAACAACGGCCGAAATGTTGTTGCTGTTGTTATCCAAATAGTCCGAACGTCAATACTAACGAGACTAGCTTGCCAAACTTCAAAGTATTTTGATGGTTACCAAATAATGGACCTAAATTTCTCTAGCGAAATGCACGTCAAACTGATGTTATAAACGCCAATAATCTGGCCAGGAATGATGAATATAAATATTTCACCGTGTTTAATGAACTTAAAACGCTGATCAATAATAAAATAACGTGCGTCAAATATAACATCAAAATGTGTACCAAATTTGTGAGGAGGGAGTAATCAGTTGCAGATGAATTGGTCACAAGTAGAAGTGAAGAAAACACATGTGCGTAATAAAACTATCTGTTGTCTACTCCTCCTTGTTGGAAGTCGATGTTTTTCATTTCTTTCATGTTCACTGATCGCTGATAGTTTGAGTTCAGTACATTTCTTTCCTTGGTCGGTGTCGCGAAATTTTCTTTGGTTTCAGAGTCTAAAAGCATCAACAAAGAGAACTTTTAACTTACTTCTTTTATTAGTGTCATTGACGTACATTCTATCAAATGGGTTTTACTGAACCCCTTATAAGGGAACCACTTTCAAACTCGAAATACCACTCATCCATATTTTTTGATGTTTTAAAAACAAAAGAAATCCCTAATATGTAGTGAATTCTATGGTCACTGGACGCCCTATAATTATGACCTGGTGACAGTAAATTAATTTAAATTTCAGATAAATATAAATCTTATTTCATAAATAAATATAAATCTTTACATAAACTCATTAATTTTCCGCAGTATTAATAAATGATATTTTAAAAATTACTTCAAGATGCCAGGCCAAATAAGAAGCAGTTGTCATCAGGGAAATGTGTCTTCATGTCTTAGTAGAATACTGTAAATTATAACCCAATGCTTGTTTACCTAAACCTAATAATCACTGTACAAAAATTACCGTCATGTGCGATGAAATTTATCGGAAAGAAATACTTATATTGGCGGAAGTGGGATAATTCAGTCATCTACATAATTTATAAAATTATGAATAATGTAGATTATTCTTTAATATCGCTAAATTTGTAAAGAGAAACAAAATTATTCTCACCAGTTGAATGTCATTATAAGGGTCGTTTTTAGAAGTTGGGGAATCGTGAATATTTTCCATAGCTTAACATTCCGATCTTCGACCATTGATATTTCTATTTCTTCTAACTTGCAAATGAAATCACGCTTATTAACTTTGGCCATTTTATTCAAAATGATTTCTGCTTCCTTTTCCTTTTTCATGGTTAGGAGCCATCGTGGTGACTCTGGTAACACCCTAAAAATAGATATAGCAAACAAGGTTTTAATCAAACAATTAAAATTTGGATATCAAACCAATAGTATATTCATTTTATCACACACACACACACACATATATATATATATATAAACATTAGGGTGTTACAACATCTCCATGCTGGCTTATGTGATAAAATGAATGTTTTCAAGTCTTTTCAGCAGATTTCAGGTCTCAGATTAATCTAAAAATTAAAGATAAAAACAAATATCGTAGCATTTTTTGAAACACACCTCACCCTATTCCTGATCCAAACCCGAGATATATTGAAGGCTCTGTTGATTTATATAATCGTATAGTCACCTCTACCCATGAACTTGACCGTCCATCCGAAAGAGCTGGAGATGTGACTCGTTTGATTGGGTGAAACGGTGCTAGTCTTCCTCCAGTGGCGATGTTCCCTGGCCCACGTGAGACGCAGCAGCCAATTCCGCTCGACGGTTACGAAAATGTAGGAGAATAAAAAGATTCATTGTACTTGTGTCTCGAATTTGTGTTACTTCATTTTAAAGAAGCAATAACATTAACAACATATTTAACAGGCTAAAAAACAGTAAGGGAAATGGTCAATAATAATAATAATAATAATAATGATTAAAGTAATAATAATAATAATATGATTATAATTTATAATAATAAAACATGTTTTCTGATATTAATATTAAGTATGAGTATTAATGTAAGAAAATAAAGACAGATGCGTTACAGGAGCTATTATTTTCGCTCCATTTTACTGGTCATAATGTTTTGCTAATCTGATTACATACGTTAAATTTAAGTTATTGATGGATACGTCTATCATTCAACTTACGAGTAAAAGCAGTTACCAGTTTTGCAAATACACACGCAAACGCACGCAAGCACTCGCTCACACAGGCTTATGCATATGTGTGTGTTTCTTGTGCCTGTGCTATTATTTATATCAAGAAATTGCTTCGCTCTTTTTATACAAACGAGAATAAGACTTTAGCCTGACACGTAGTTATTCATTGAATTTTGATCAGAAATGTTTATTGTATAATGATCTATCTATATGACTAATATTCATCACTAAATTAAGTGCATTGCCAAGAGATGATTCGCTGAGAGAAATAAATCATTTTGCTTTATTTTCACTGTGGAACTATTGATGTACACGTGGGAAATAAAAAAGAATCAAGACTTTCGCCATAACATATGATTTGATTTGTCTTACCGCCTTCTGCTGATGCGTGCTTATAGTTGGTAATATTGTAGTTACGTGGTCGAAGTCTGAATTAGATTACGCGTATTTTCTTACTGCTGTTACAGATTAAACATGATCGCTCCACTAGCAGTGTGAAAAAAAGAAGGATAAAGAGCAGTAATCTGATTTCTCTTCTTAGAACGTATCCCAGGGACTGAAATTCATGGAAGGCTTTTATCGCAATACGGCGACAGTGCACTACAGTAAAGAAATATGTACGATTGGATCGAGAAGTTTAACAGTAGCCGGACAAGCGTGACACATGAAGAAGGAGCAGTACAACCGTCAACCTCCATCACAGATGAACAGATTCAGCAAGTTCGAGATATGGTAATGGCGAAACACCGAACTACAAACGATGATGTTGCATGTTGTCTACAGATTCAGATCACAGCTTTTATGTTCCTCCTCAGTAAAGAATTTTATTTTGACAAAACTAAATATATGTTATAGAGAATGTGCGGATAATTTTAACCTTACACTCGTATATACTTGTAGGAATTTCTGTAATGCTTTCTCCGTAGGCACATCGTACGCTTTTCGTAGCGCTCTCTTGAGTGTATCCACGAATTTCTCCGCTTGTCCATTTGATCTTGGGTGGTAAGGCGGGGATTTTATATGTTTTACTTGATAAATTTCGCAAAACTCTTGGAAGTCTACTGACGTGAATTACGTTCCATTATCTGTTACTAAGCAGTCCACTACACCAAACCGAGCGAATAGCTCGTGGAGGAAATTTATGGTCGTTTATGTAGTAGGATGTTTGCAACGAAGCACCTCCGGCCATTTACTGTGGCTATCAAGTATGATTAAATAGTAGAACCCGTCAATTGGCCTTGCATTATCTGCGTGTATTCTTGACCATGGACGATCAAGTCTCTGGCCAAGGCTTATGTATGACTGGCGGTGCTTTGGCTGCTAAATTACAACCCTTGCAAATTTCCACCATTTGAGAAATATCCTGGTTCATATTCTTCCAATATACATAGCTTCGCATTAGCGACTTCATTCTATTTTTACCCGGGTGTCCCCTGTGGAAATCTTTTAGGATCCGCTTTTGTAAGGTTTTGGGAATTACAACCCTTTCGTTGTAAAGTCGCACATTATTGCATAGAGAAAAGCTGGCCGAAATTTGCTCATTTTTTTCTGCTATTTTCGCTTTTGCTTCATTAATAAATTCGTCATTTTTGGCTTCATTTCTTATGTCTTGCAATGTGACTGGGAGGTTTCTGACTGTACAACATAGTACTGTTCTTATGTCTTCTTCATTTCTTAGGGCTGCGATTACCGTATCTTCCAATGGCATTGTCTTTGTTGGTATAAGTCTCGACAGACCATCCCCGTGCCCGATTCTTTTCAATGGTAAATATTCCAATCTGAAATTATAGTTCAGAAGAATCGTTCCCCATCTAAGTAGCTTATTTGCCGTGTACACCGGTAGACCTTTTTTTGAACCAAAAATTTTTATTAACGGTTTGTGATCCGTCTGCAGAGTAAAATGTCTACCATAGACTTACCTATGGAATCTTTTTACTGCGAAGATGATTGCTAGAGCTTCCTTCTCTATTTGTGAATAATTTTTGTCCGCTGGTAGCAGGGCTCGAGAAGCATGTGCGATAGGTTTTATTGTCCCATCTGGCATTTTATGTAATATACACGATCCGACTCCGTAGGCGCTCGCGTCACTTGCTACAATAATTTCTAGTTTAGGATCATAGTGTGCCAAAAATAAATCCGATGTTAATGTCTTGATTAATTTTTCAAATGTTTCCTGGCACTGATCTGTCCACTGCCAAACTTTTTCTTTCTTTAGCTGTTCGTACAGTGGTGCACGAAGTTTATGCATTTGAGGTATGAATTCCTGGTAGTAATTCACTAATCCAAGAAAACTTTGTAGTTCTGTTATATTCTTAGGAACTGCCAGTTTTATATTGCTGTAGACTTTTCAGGGTCTGGTCGTCTACCTTTTTGATCTATGATATGGCCAAGGTATTTAATTTCCTTCATGAAAAAAATCACACTTATTTTCTTTTACTTTGAATCCATAGCTTTGGATTCTCTTAAAAACTTCTTGTACATGTTGCCAGTGTTGTTCAACGCTTTCGCTATTAATCAATATGTCATCCAGGTATGCATTTGTGTAGTCTAGTCCGGCAAGCATCGTATCCATTTTCTGTTGGAATATAGCCGGCGCGACCTTAATTCCAAATGGTAGTCTTTGGTATCTGTACAATCCTTTGTGTGTATTTATGCATAGAAGTTTTGAACTTTCTTCATCGACTGAAATTTGCAGGTACGCCTCACTTAAAACAATTTTTGAAAAATATTTTCCGCTATTTAATTTAGTGAATACTTCTTCTGGACTGTGTAGAAGATAGTGGTAGTCCTTTATTGCTGCGTTCAAACCTGTAGAAGAATCAGCACAAACTCGAATTTCTCCTGATTTCTTTTTGACGCAGACCGTCGGTGCGGCCCATTTGCTGTATTCTACTTTTTTCAATATGTCCATATTTTCGAGTCTAGTTAATTCTTGGTCAATTTTTTGTATTGACGCAAACGGTACGCTCCTTTTTTTCTTGAAAACAGGTTGAACGTTTTCCTTTATTTCGATATTAGCTGCCATTTTCTTACATCTACCGAGACCTTCTGAAAATATTCGGGGAAACTCGTTTTTAGTTTTCCTTTTAATTTGTCTGCCTCGGTTGATAAGCTTTTTACATTTTTAGTTTTTTCGTCATTCCATTAAATGTTACTTTTGTAATTACTTCACCCTCGAATTTTATCTTTCTCCCCGTAACTGATCTAGCAATTTTATCCGTTTTTAACATAACAGGTTTGTTAAGTTTTCTACATGTTTGTAGGTTTATGATAGTTGAGTCTGAGCCAGAATCCAGCTGTAACCTAACTTTTCTATTTTGCATTTCTATACCAACAATGAGAACTTTTGTGGCCAATTGTTTACATGATAAACAAGATTTAAAACCATATGTACAGTCTTTAAACCAATGCCAAGACCCACAACGATAGCATGGTAGTTTTTTTATGTTGATTATAATTAGATAATTTCGTTTTACCTGTTCTTGAGGCAGGAAAATCGGTTCAGTTTGTTTGTGAGGAGGGAAAATTTGTTTGCCTTCGTACTTTGCGTACGTGTGCTATGCCAGCTTGTTCTATATCTTTTGAGTCTTTCTTCACACTAGTTTTTGAAGTGACAGATTTTGTTCACTCTCCAATTTAGTAAGTATTCTGCGTCTCATTTCTGCGTCTTTGGTTGAAACCAGGCCTTGGACGTAAATTAAGCATTTGAAATTGTCCGCGCTGAGTTCCGATAATCTGAAGTTGTCACAATATTTGTTAACAATGGATGCGAAAGTTATGTAATCTTCGCGCTGTCCTTTTTTGTAACGTTCAAGCATTTCCATCTTTTATGGAATAGTGAAGTATTATGGCTGAAAAGTTCCGTTAGCAGTTTTATGGATTCTTTGAACGTTAACTCTCTTGTTTTTCTGGGAAGGATATAATCTACGAATTTGTTATATTCATCTGTGCCTAATTTTCTTAGTAATAGGCGTACTTTACGTGCGTCTGACCAATCTTTGCAGTCAAAATCATATAGATCTTCGTACCTTCGGAAGTAATTTCCAAATTTTTATCTTCTTCGGGTGCGTACTTGAAATCTTCGATATTACTCCAAATAACGTCTTGTGAGAGAACTGTTTCGTTCTCGGATTTTTGCTCCTTATTTGTCATTGCACGTAACAATAATTCTTGCAATTCCAGATGTTTCTGTTCGTACCTTTGTTGCTGTTCAAATTGGATTTTGATAGGATCCATAATGGTTGATTTAAAATCTTCCATGTTAACGTATTTTTTAAAAGATATTTTATTTTTTTGTGTAACCTGATATTCTGTAGCCTGTGCATGCAACAAAAAAAAAACTTTCCTTTGTTGTCAGTGAAAATTTGATATCAAAAAAATAATTTTTTTCTTTTTTTGGAATGAGTTTCGTATTACCTTTTTAGGGTTTCCTGGTCGCCACTTGTTATGCGCGACGGATAGTAAAAAAAAATAGGTATCTCCTCCGCGTAGAGAGTTGGTTTCCTTGTCGCCACTTGTTATGCTGTGGCGAATAAATTCTTTTTTTCTTCCACCGAATGAATTCGAGTCTTCGTCGCTACTTATTATGGTCCGGTTCCTTGTACTACGGTGATAGTCCAAGGTAGAACCAATAAAGAAGAACGCGAACACAGGTATGGAATAACACAGATATATTACAAACAGGAATATATACATAGAAGTAGAAGTGTTAATACGAACAATCAGGTTTAGTAGAGAGAACAATGTAGTCTCGACCAGTATCACTATCCCAATGTCTTGCAGTAATTGTCTGAATGCGACTCTGTTTCGGACTGCCTCTGACTCGAATCTTGACTCCACTTGAACTACTGACTCTACTGACTCCTTGCCTGCTCCTGAGGCGCAATATTTATTAAGTATGGAATAGTCCATTATTACTATGTTTATGGGTAAGATCCCATAACACATTTATACATAGAAAAGTTCTACATATATATCCGATGTAATAACCGCCACAAGAAACTAGAGAAATTTAAAGAAATGATTATACCGAATTCCGTCCATGGTTTCAGTTATCATTTCTAAACTATTCCCCCCACAATGCTTGTGAATTTGATATTATTCCTGTAATTGTCAGAAAGAAATGTTCTCCTGAACTGGCTCCTGTTCTCTCCAGACTTTACAAGATGCTACGATATTAATTGCTTTTCTTCTTGTTGGTGGTCCTTATCTGTAGCCCCTGTTTTTAAGAAATATGAGAAATATTTCAACACCACTAAAAAAAAAAAATATCGCCTTATTAAAATCTTACCTATTTTTGGCAAAATAGTATTTGCTCTAATCCATACAGAATTAGTTAAGCATCTAACTTCACATGGCCACCTTTCGAATAAATAATATGACTTCAGTTTCTCCTGGTCTATCACCTATGTATTAATGGCTATAACTGCATTTGTCTATGAAGCTTTTGATAAGACTGGTGACGCTCACGTCGGCTGCTTTAGATATTTCAAATACGTTCTGCAGGATTTGGCATGCTGGCCATCTCCACAAGATCAAGAGCTATGATGTCTCTGGATAAATATTTGGCTTCTATCATTGTTCATTTTTTAAATGTTTAAAAATAATTCTCTATTCATTTTGTCATAAATGCCTAAGTAGCCATTCAAACAGACTGATTATCCTCAGGGAAAGCCAGATAAGAAAGAAACAAAACGATAACGGATGTTTTATTTTAAATCTTACCAAATATAAAGCAATGCAGCTGGAATTGACGGTAAGGAAACCAATAGAACAATCAGCGTCCATGTTCTTATATAATACGCCAATAAATTAACAACCAGAAGTCCGAATGTGAAATACAGTTGAATAGCAACGGAAGCATTCGTCCTCTTTTTCATTGATGAAAGTTCAGTTCCTTTAAAATACAAGATGAAATTAAAAGGAAGAAAAAATACCAATTTGAGATGATCTATTTTTTAACAAATTTAAAATTTCAAAACCAGTTTAAAAATTATAAATATAAAATGTGCAGTGAACATTTGCAAGCTAATCACCCAGCTTATTCATTAATATAATGAGTTCCATATTCATTGCGTGCTTCAAGTAGATAAATCTTAAATCTATACATTATGACTTACAGTTAAGAAACCCTGAAATCCATTTCTGAAGATCGTAAATAGTGTGATGTTGAGTTAATTCTTAATAATCTCTCTATGGATCATGGACTGCATCGTGGCTGAAATTGCTACGTTTTCCTGTCCGATACCAAAGAAAAGCCGATAATTTGAAAGTTCATTTTCATGTCAGGTTGGAAATCCTTACGAAAGAGGTGAAGATAACTCAATCTTCTTAGTTCAATATCCGTTATTTTATGTACACAGTATCTCAGACAATATATACACACTTTTACAGAATATAGCTCAAGTCAACGACTTCTTTGCAGATTGACACATTCCTATTACTAATGTTATTCAGGACATAGCTTTGAACAAAAAATGTTCGTCTTGAAATCCTACTGGAAGTACAAAAATCCAGCTAAACTTCAAAGGCGGTCTCGAAGTGCGTTTCATTCAGATCCACCCACCCGGCTTACAATCTCACGTATCAGAGACAAGTCTGAATCTGATGGTACTGTACACGATGTGTACAAGAATGGTTCCCGAATAACACAGATATCAACAAGCTATTTGATTCAAGAAAAGGTAATGGAAAATATTCAGATAAATGCAAGAAACCTATCGAAATGTTGATTTCTCCTTGTGATTCCATTGCGTCGTCATCAAAGTCTGCATCATAACAAACATCAAATTAAAATAATATCACAAAAATGCATTTGTAATAAATACTGTCTTCATACGTATTATTAAATTTGATATAGTTGGCTGTAGTTGCGTGAATTACTTCTTCACAAAGGTTCAGAATATGTATATATATTTTAAACACACTCTGTATATACATAAAATATTCAATATCGACACGATGTGTGCATATATCTGTGTTTCCTATTTTAATCTTGCTGTTTTTTTTTTGCATTTTACAGTTTTCTAGTTGTTTATCAATGGACTAATTACAGTTTTATTAATGTACATAGCCAATCAATATGCATAACCAGTCAACATTAATCAACTCGGCACGAAATACTTTATCACTTCTTTTAGAAGAAAAACATTCTTGCAATAACACAAATGTATCTTTTAGCTTACTGAATTAAAAGTTTTAAATAATTTTCATCTTGTTAGAAATGCAGTAAGTAAAATGCCTCACCGAAGACACATGATGGAATAAATGAGCCAGCACCTCCGACGGCTGTGAGAAAACGTAATATGAGAATGGCATTGATGTTCCTGATTTGCGAAGATAAAATTCCAGCAATACCTTGCATCATTAGTGCACCGACGATGACAGTTTTGCGTCCAAAACTGGAAAGAAACGCAAGAACGCTTTGATGTAAATCAGAAGAATGTAGAGTTACAAAAATGGTATACATAAATCAAATTAAACGTATAATCCTTGAAGTAAATCCCAACTTTTTTTTTTAATGTGAGAAGAGTATGTAGACGTCTGCACGAAAATGGGCCAGTAAGCGACTTTCAATTTAAAGGACAACATTATATATATATATATATATATATATATATAAACCTTTGCTTCTGTTTATTGTCGCATTGCTAAGACAGGAACTGTGTCACCACAAACTACGCCTAACCACGAAGAATACCATGTACAGGCTGTCGGAGACGATCCAGTTATCAGCACACGTTAAATGGCCGTAGAATGTGGTACATCTCATAGTACCGCATGGAGGATACTTCAAGAGAAGCTCTTATATCCGTATCATTTGTAGCGTGTGCAGGGTTTTTCGCCTTCTGATCACTCAACACTCAACACGCGAGGAATTTTGCAGATTGTCTATTGCACAAACTCCCGATTCGTTTTTTGTCTCTTCAGTCATTTTTACGGATGAGGCAATAATTGGAAGAGATGGAATAACAAATTCATACAACCAACCAACATTTTGGGGAGGATCGGAATCCTAGTGCTATAATACAGGCTAGACACCAGCATCATTTTACGATTAATGTGTCGGTTGGAATTATAGTTGACTGTCTGTTAGGTCTTTATGTTCTATCACGTCTTATAGGAGCTGTCTCCGGCAACTTTCTTTCGAACAGGCTTCCAAACCTTCTAGAGGATGTGCTCCTGCTAATACGAAGACGCATGTGATTCATACCTGATGAGTCTCCAGCACATTTTAGTCTCATTTTCGCAATGCATTGGCTGACATGGAAGATGGATAGGTAGAGGAGAACCGTTTCCACAGCCGGCAATTTGAATCGTTTGAATTTCTATCCGTCGGGTCACTTAAAACAATTGGTTTATGCAGCAGGCATTAATATTTCAGAGACGCTTCATCGACGTGTCATGGGGGCCTGCAAAACCGTATGGCATCATGTGAAAAGGTTCCGCCAGTTAATGATCCGAGAGGTGATTGCGTGTGTAAAAGGAAACGGAGGATATTTTGAACATTTGTTATGAGTTGCTGTGTTGAGGTACAAAAATGGCCTTTTGGATATATATATATATATATATATATATATATATATATATATATATATATTCAAAACATTAGGTAGGTCGTTTGGAGGCCTTGTAATTCAGCTCTTCCAAAATGAGTGATTGGTTCTGCACAAGCTGGCACCAATGTAATTAAATTATATGCGCAATTAGTCTGGTTGCTCGGTTCTAAGAGCTAAGTTGCTGTAACCCCAGACAAAGAAAACGACGGGAGAGTTCAGTATATGCTCTCCTTCACTTATGGAGCACTATGGTGTAAGGGAAGTTTTAACGTCTGCTACTCCTGCTTAACGTCAGAATTGAGCCCTCTGGCTGCTAGTCTAGCGTTTATATACATCACGTATATAATACGTTATATATATATATATGTATGTATGTATGTGTGTGTGTGTGTGTGTGTGTGTGTGTGTGTGTGTGTGTAAGCATAAAAACATTTCCTTAAATCTGCGCAAATGACCAAACCGAATTTGGTCAGGGGATGGCTTTTCACCAGACGAAGAAATTTATCACTCCATTTATATATATTCCTCTTTTTGAAAACCATACATTCTGTTTTCTTAGAATGTTCAGTTCATCTTTTGTTCCGCTTTTTTTACTATCTTGTTTTGGAGTTTCTACATTTTTCTTCTGTTTTTCATCAACGTAGTATTATCTGCATATCTTATACTGATAAGATGGCACACAGCAATAATAAATCATGTTAGGACTTCTAATTGTCTTGGGAATACTTCGAAGTAAAGTTGAATATATCTGCTGGGAAGAAACGAACTTATCCTGCTTCTATTTTTTGTGTATATATTCAATGAATTTTCTATGCATATTGTGACGTCACCCCGGCCTCTCCGCGCCCGTGTTATCCTGTGACGACCAATGTGACTTGGTATTGGTCGCGGCGCCAAATGTGACGTTCTAACCCTTGGCTGATTCGGATGGAAAGCTGGTTAGATTCGGTATCAGCTTTGTCGTTCCCAGCTCGCCTCCAACGTCTGGTTACCGAAATAACTGCTTTGATTTCTAATCTAACTACCCACGTTGTGATTTGATCTTAGGTAGACGAAATCAATCAGTCGTCGGGCCGTAGTGCAAGCCGAATTCGAACAAAGGTGACACTGCACAAGTATATGTAAAAGAAAATAAAGTAACTACTCGAAAAATTCAATTGTATCAAAAAAAGAATAACAGATATTTTATATCTGGTTTCTGAATACAGGACTGCGTCTTTCTCCCAAACCGCTTCTATGGATACGTGACACTTTGCGTTTGTTAGGCGAGTCTTAATATCTTAAGTTGTTTTTCAAGAAACTGGTATTTGGTATCTTCAGGCGATATTCGTAAAACTTGTTTTGGTGGTGTGAGTCTAAGTCGTTCTTCAAAAATAAATTGTTTTTGGTTAGAAGTCTAAGTCGGAATGCGTGGATATCTTTCAGCCAGATCCCACGTGGCTGGTTTCCGAGCTCTGTCTGCTCTGTCACTGTCTGCCTCTGCCCAACTGCCACCGTCTCTGCCCTGTAACTCCGTTTATATGGACGCCGACCAAAACCGGGTGTGGGCCTGTCGTGGTTTGGGTTCCTCGATAATTCCAAATCCGCAATAAGGATTTTCTTTGTTTTCGGACAGGAAAATTTATATCTTTCCATTTTTGGAAGTCCATTACTTTCTGTTTTAGAGGGGTTCTTAAGGGAATTGTCCTCCCAAATTCTTCCTTCTTCATATTGGTATCTCACACCAATCCCCCTCAGAGTTGTCAACAGGTTTCCCTTCTTTCTCATATGTTTACCTTCGCCCATCGCTCACGCCACCATTCAGCCAATGAAAGCTTGGCAGTGTGGGCGTGGCTAGACTGGCCTCAGTTTACAATCATCGCTCAAAGAAAAAAATAATTATCTTCCTTTTTCTTTTCTTTTTTTTCCTTGACTAGAACCCCCACGACTCGTAGTGTGATCATCAAGTCTCTATCTTAACTGGATGGCATCTGGAATTCTTCAACGAGATTTCCGCCCAGTGATTAGCTGGGTGGTCAACTGAACCTCCTTTTCTCCTCAACGTCTTCGTACTTCTGTGTCCATCAGCCTGTACAGGTTACAACTTTTATCATGGCAAGGACTTGACATAAAACAGGTGGTCTCTTTCCAAAACCAAATGATATCTCCGAAAGATAGTTAATGGTTTATTCTTTTGCTTTTTCTCTTCCTCCTCCCTTTTTCTTTGGGGGTGGTCTCAGCTGATTTTTTTCTCGGTCATATGCTTGAGCCAACTCTGATTATCTTTTAGCATTCCCCTTTGTAAGCCACTTGGCCATTTGAAATTTTCATTATTGCCATGGGCAGATTGCTATCTTTTATCCGCCGCGTCATAGCATAAATTAATTCTGACAGATCCGAGATCTTATGAATTTCCCATCTTCTGCGAAAAAAATACTTTTCCTCGCAAATGAAAATAAAATCTTTAACACTTTTCTTTTGTTAAAAAAAATAACATCGCTCAGTTTGTCTTTCGTGATAGCTTCTTCTCTCCTTAAGTATTTCTCGATTTTAATTTTTCACGCTTAATTAATTAGCCAAACGCTAAATAGTGTCACAGTATGCAGAAGAAGGCTTACTTCAAGTATATAGCCTGGATTATTCTAATGTGTTTTCAATTAAATCAAATGTTCATAACTGTTCAAATATATACTTGTATCCCACCTCAAACGTTTTTGTGTATTCTTTTAAACATAGGTAAATGTGCTTCTGTATTGTAATGGTCTATTTGATATCGTTCAGATCATAAATAATGGATTTTTTATTCTAGTATATTTAACGAAAGCACACTGTTCCTGTTGTATTTCCAGTCTAATTCTGCTACTCGATATATTCATAGAATTCAGCTGAGAATGTATTTATCTGTTTTGTTAAGCCGATTGACTGATCGAGTTCATTTGCATCTGGCTTCTTTGACGCCGCTATAAACATTGATCTGCTAAGGTCTCCCTGTATTACAGCGCTGTGATGTTTATTTATTATTTCCGTGATCTTTTCGACGCCGAAAATGTATAATGTTGACAGCATCCCTATTACTGTCTCTTCTGTTACTGCTGCTTTATTCTTGCTCATTTTGGCCATTGTTTATCTCACTTTCAAATTTTAATATTTCAGTTCCCTCTATATTTTTATGTACTTTTCCTCTTTTACCGTAGAGGCTGTCTCCATGTATTCGTTCCATCTTTTTTTCTCCTTCTCTCTTTTGATTTCAAAACTAAAATTAAAATCTCACACATGGCGCAATAGATACAGTAGCATCCAGTATTAAAGTTTTTGTTCTCTATTCTTTTTAAATTTTTGTTTTAATTTTATGAAAAATTGACATAGTTTAGAATATGTTTTACGAGTCATTACTGTGAATTTTATTACTATTGAATTTTCAGAATGGTCATGGTTTGATTTGTAAAGTTTAGTTTTCTAATATTCGGCGCTGCTATGCTTAGAATGAATAAATAAGATGAAAAAAATATTCTCCGAAGATCTACTTACCGATCAGAAAGCCATCCACATGACAGCATAGCCACCAAATAACCACCAAAAAAGACAGTATATATATGTTGGGCGATCCACCCTTTGTCACAAACTAAATTAAACTAGAAAAAAAGATAAAATATTTTTACAAATGCTTTTGACATTCACCGCTATAAATGTACATTTTGGAAAAAATTGAAAATGTGTTTGACTGGATTAAAATATTGATGAAAATATAATAAGAAAGATGGACAAATAGTGATGCCTCTTTTTTTTAATCCTGAAAGTCCTAGTCAGAATTGGTAGAGGAGGTTAATTGCAAATATTAAACTGTTCAGAAGTACCAAAACGAAAAAAAGTTAACTTCTCTTTTACTGAACATAGTCTTCTTTCAAAATAGTAGTCCCTCTGTAGATAGCAAAATATCTCATAAAATCTTTTTGTAAGGAGAAGCTATATTAGGTAAAGTGATTGATGAATGGCAGCATATACTGTAAGCATAATAAGCATATCTGTCTTTAGATTTATTGGTAATCGTAGAAAAAAAGAAAGTGACCTTAGTAATATTTTCTGCAGTGGGAGGTCAACTGAAATTGATAATGAGAAAAGGCTTACATATAGCAGAAAATCCCTATTGCAAACGTCAATCAAAGTGTTAAAGTGAACAATCATACTGTCTGCATTTTTGTGAAATCTCTTTGATAGTCAAATATTTGTGCAAATTGAGTTGCAAGGCTGGTGACACGGAGAGAACTCAGAAAACATTGCTTTTCCAAAAATAAGGAGGAGAAATAGGCAACTCACACTTGTTCAAATACATTGACTATACATTTGTATTCATTTTAGAATCGTTTGTGTCTTTGTATTATTAATTATATTAAAATAGTGTGACAGAGAGTAACGGTCACCGTTGAAATATTAATAATTATTGTAATATAGAATTTTGTTTATAGATGAGAAAGATAATCTGTGGTGAAGTTTGTGCCCAGAGAATCTGTGCTTCGTCAGCATTATTAATATAAAATGTCAAAACAATAGTGTTTATATGAATTATGGAATACCAATTGAGAAGAAGAGATTGTTCCTTTAATCATGAAAGAGGAGAGATCAGTAATCAGGTTGTATTCTAAGTTACCAACACCCCGGGTTTTTGTCGCTACCCTCGCGTTTATTCAAGCGTGTGTTTGTCGGAGTCGAAGTCGATTGGAGCTGGGTAAAGTGAGTTGACAAGCAGTCGGGAGAGAGATAGGCAGTGAAGGTGAAAGCCGTTGCAGTTTTTTGTGTATATATATGTACTAGTTAGCAAGTCAAAATGAACTGACTCATTTTATAGTTCACCAATAGAAGGGTTAACCAATCAGAAAGCTCAAAATATTCAATGCGACGACACACACGCCGGCTAACAAGGGCTCTGATGAAAATCCAAGAGCGTCTGCATCGGTAACTGGCGGCTTCTGCTCGTTCCTGTCTCTGCGTCTGTGGGAACCCCAAACGTTATCCGAGTAGGCCTGGGTACCCTACTTCTGTAATTTATCCTAAGAATCTTCTTCTCATAACAGGAAGAAGCCGGCTCAATCCGCCCAGGGTGAATGCCGCATCAGTATAGTACAGTACAGTAGTAGTATAAACGCAGCCATTTTTTCTCTCCCAAATTGTCTGCACTGCTAACCTGATATCGAAGACTTAAAGAATTACTTAACAACCGCTATTTTCTCTGAATATTCACTGCCGACCTCTGATATTGAACAGATTACGGACTTCACTGGATTCCATATTCAGAGACTGCGGCAAACATGGTCAACAAAAGCGTCCGGTTGCTGCTCTAATAAGGGAGGAATTGCACTCAAGTTATCTGCAATATTGGCGCAATACTGCCAGTGGACCCCTCATATCCTGCTAGTGAAAGAATTACGGTAACTACTAAGAACAAAAAGAGTGAACCCGAAAACTACTTCCCTCATTTCAGGATTATTTGCAATATTTGTATCTTTTTCTGGACTTTATTTCATATAAACTACTTTCTTGTAAAAGAAGCATTATTCTTTTTGTACCAATTTCTTCCTTATATACATATGCATAAATTTTTCTTTGGACTCGAATCGACTTGTTCATATTTGATTTTTTTCTGCTTGGTCCGATTCTCGCCCCAACGAACTTGCAGGTAGACCAGCTGAGTCTTCCGGGATCTACGATTTGTATATTGCTCTCCAGGATCAAAAAAAAATCACAATATGGCTGAAAAGTGGAATCGAATCGACAATGTGAACCGGATACTTTGATTCAACCTGTAATACTAGACCAGGACAGGACCAACGGCTTGTCTTGTAGAGTACATCGATCCAGTGAGATAAGGATAGGTGTTACAATATAGAAAGAATAGATTATTGATTAATGAAAACAATTGTAATGAGTATTAGAATATTTAAGAATTATGAGAGATAGTAAAAAATCGAATTTTACTAAGAACTACAAAGGAACGGAAGTTGTGGAAAGCCAGTATCGCGCACGTTCTTAAGTGACACGGCACATATTAGAAGTGTATATTTATATCAATATAATGTATTTTCGAGCAGATGCAGCGCCTCAGATTGAAAAATCCTGGAAAGAAAAATCCTGATTTGAAACATCCGTTGTCTTGCATCTATATTTAATTCTGGAAAATTTTCGACCGAAACACAAACTGATAATCTCGAGTCGAGAGAGCGAACAGTAGAGTATGGTGGTAAGATTGGCCAACATCAGTGTCAGACAAGCATAGATATATCTAGGATACTTACGTCACTGATAATCGATTGTTGAAATATTGATTTCTTACTGACCCCCAAAACTACAATTACTCAGCGTCTGTTTTCCCAGAACGCTTTTGTTGACATAAAGATAACGGCTATTGTACACAGGTTTTCCGTCCACTGTCCTCTCTGGAATGTATTCCTTAATAAGCTTTTCATGGGTTTGCTTTGGATTCCGTAAGTGCTGTTTATCAAATAAGTTGTGAATTTAAAAGCTATTTTCAAAGATTATTTGAATTATTATTACATTTATTATATTAATTAATACGAGCATTTATAATTCAATCATAAGTGCTCACTCATCGAGTGCTTACATCAACAATAATATGGATTACCAAAGAAATCAAGTAACAGCAACTCCGCTCAATATCATTGAGCTTTTCTAATGCATTCGACCTATTTTCGATAATGCTGTCGATAATGCACGGGCTGTAAGAAGATAGAAGATGGCGATTAATGAAGCATTTAAATTTTTACAGATTTTAGTTGTCAGGGAAGCAAGTAAACGAAAGGGCTTTCCACAGTCGGAAAGTGCAGAAAAAGAAACTGTTGGAGTAGAAGTGGCAGTTACTTTTAACAACTTCAACAGGCTGAGACCAAGATACCTTCTAGTAGAACGCTTAGATTTATGCAGTCGGGGTACCAGGAAAGAAAGCTCTTCAGAGAAGTTGCCACGAAAATATTTATGAGAAAAAAAAACAGAGAAAAGCCACGTTACGTCGGTGAGAAAGTGATTGAAGTCATGATTGCAAGTCAGGATCTATTACATTTCAGATTCTTCTTTAGATCTTGTCAAGAACCTCGAAATAAATAGCAAGAGAACCAGACCAGATCTGGCAGCAGTATTCAATGCCCGGACGAATGGTAGATTTGTAAATGTGAAAGATGAACTCTGGCCCAACAGAGTGATCCAAATTTCCTTGCAGTAGATTCAGCTATTGATTCAATGTAGTCGACCCACTTCAAATCGGTTGAAAACGTGAGTCCGAGAAGAGTTTTAGGAGGTTCCGAAGTCGTCTGGAGGCCGTAGTTAAGGCCAATGGCTATTTTATTAAACATATTTACTCTAGTATTTCGATATTTTTGTGTAATTTGGGTAAATATATCTATTAAAATGAGATATCAGTGTTATTTTCATTTTTGTGTAATTTAGACGACAGTTTATCCCCGCATCCTGTACTAATGTTAACTTAATAAAAACAATAACTTTATTTGTCCTTTATACTCCTTGCTATAGAAAGATTTGACGGTGATTTCATTTCAAAATACAAACGCTTTTTGAAAGCGAACTAATTACACTTCTTTCTGACAGACATTTGATGCTTGAAACACTGAATTGAAAGGCTGACAGTAGATTATGGTGGTTAGATAGATTTGCATTAATGTTAGACAAGCATAGATATATCTAGAATACTTACGTCACTGATAATCGTTTGCTGAAATATTGATTTGTCATAGACCCAAGAACTACAATTACCCAGCGTTTGGTTCCCCAGAACACTTTTGTTGACATAAAGATGGCAGCTACTGTACAACGGTTTCCCGTTCACTGTCTCCTCAGGAATGTATTCATTAATAAGTTTTCCATGGGCTTCGCTTTGGACTTTGTATGTGTCATTTCTTAGATCAGGAATAGCGCACCTTTATCGGAAAAATAAATTGTGAATTAAACGAAATATTTCTTTTCATAATTATTTGAATTATTATTATAATTATTATATTGATTATATTATATTGAATGTTGAAGCATATTTCGTCACCTACATGACTTAAACAGAGAATATTTTACTTAAACAGGAGGATAATTCATCATCAAAGTAACTTAAGCAGGAGAATAATTCATCACCTAAATCACTTAAGCAGGAGAATAATTCATAACCTACATCAATTAAAGAGAAGATTTATTTATTAAAGATTCTGTTTACTTAATTAACAGTTCATTTATTTATTTTCTTCTACCGAACTGAATGATCAAGACATCTTATTAAAGAAAAATTTGCGCTCTCCGATAGAGGGAGTAATCGTTTAGCCCGGTACGCTTTAACGTCTTGGTCACGAAGAGCAATCGGTCAGTCGAGCACAAATTTCGTACATTCACGCGAAATTCCCCACTTTCTCGAATTTTTCATGCTTAGAGGAAAAATTAGTAATAATTAGTTTTAGAAACCAAAATAAACTTTTAAGCAAGTAAACTGAAAAATGGGTAAGTGCTGGCATATAAATAAATATTTACTTTGCCATCGAAGGACTAATTAAAAATAATTTAATATAAACTTAAAATTAAATGAAATAAAATAAACTTAAAAATAAATAAAAATATAAACTTAAAAATATATGTATAAAAATAAAATATAATATAAACATAAAATTATTAAATAAAATTAAATAATGAATAAGTACAAATTTAAATAAACATAAGATAAAATAAATAAATGGCCAAAAGAAAATATGAGTAAACATAAGATAAAAAAATAATAATAAACGAAAAGTTATTAAATATACACAACTATATGCTTATATATGTGTGTGTGTGTATGCATATATGTACATATAAATATAAAGATACACACGCACACAAACAAGTACAAACGAACAAATCTGACCTTCCTTAATTAATACCTCAATATACAAGATAACACCAAGGCAAAAACAAATAAACTACTAGTTAAATAATGAAAATGAAATATTTGATAAATGATGAGATATAAGCAAATATTTAATTTAATTTGTTACATATACAGTATTTAATAATACATATATGTGTGTGCGGGTGGAAGTATATATTATATACTTTATATGCATATATTCAAGCAGCCAAGAAAATATTCCATAAACCCGGCCAATTATAACTAATGGTTGGTTTGGTTTAAAAATATAGAAAGAAAAAAATTTAGCATTTAAGCAATAGTTTATATATTAATAACAAATCGCATACACAAGTGTGTATGTGTTTGTGTGCGCGCTTTTGTATAAATATATGCATGTATGTATACGTAAGTTTTTCTATATAGGTATATGCATGCATGTGCGTAAACGTATGAATATAGGCATACGCATAAAAATTCAAAGAATAATAAATACAGATTTAATTATAAAACTAACCTTTTACAATAAAAACCATAATACATCTAATCTGATCTGGTAGCGTTGTTTTTTCCGAATTTTGAGAAAAGGGCATCACAACTTAAATAAAAATCCTGCATTTTGAATAATGTGAGAAATAACACAGCATAATATTATAAATTCAAGATTACTTTTTGACATTTACTATACAAAGCTTAGTAAATATCATTTTCCATGTGTTTTGGAGTCTATTCCCCTTAGACATCATAATCTTTCGTATTTCTTATACTAAATATTTAGAATGATTTGAATTGGCTCGATGTCAATTATTTCACTACCGTGTATAAAATTTAGTTTTTTTTCATAAAATTAATTTAATATTTTTAAAAAATTACCACGTTTTTGAAAATGCTTAATATTCTTCTTATTCCAAGAGGAAAATCTGGAATGAATCTTGAAGTCTTTTTCATTTTTGTCAAAACAGCCCTGATGCTGTACTTGTTAATAACAATCTATTAGAATACTGAGAAATATTTTCTTTTTTTTATGATTTTGACACTTAACTGGTTTCTGAAACTTAAATTATAACAAGCATTGACGACTAGCTTCTACACGACCGGATTATGTTTTAATAGTTACATCATCGTTGCAACTATCAAATGAAAATGAAATAAATACTTATGAAAACCATACCACCGACATGCATACTATCAAACAGAGCGGCAATGTAAAATAAATGGGTCACAAAGACTTGCTAACGTACACATCTACCAGCAGCTTTGATCACATCTGTGTATTTTATTTCTCTTTTATATGTCAACTATCTATATGTTTTTTCCTTTACTACAAACTCTTCTATTATATATTATACTTTCGGTGAAACGTAGCTTAAAGTAGGCAGCTATGTACAATGAGGCATGATGGTCTAGTAGCTTGAACCAATCAGCTTGTGTCTATCAATTCTCATTATTTGATTAGGGAATGCTCGTTATTGCTTAATATTTTACAGTCAGTGTCATGAAGTTGATCATCACTGGTTGAATATTACTTTTGGTATTGTGACAGGCTGAACTAAGCAATCCCTAAACATCACGCTCATAACATACAAACTCAACGATGGGTTCATAAATTAAAAAGAGCGTATTGTTTAAATTAAATTTAAATGCAACGTCACTCGCCATGTTCTGTTGCCTTGACCCCTGTTCTTCTTTATCCTGTCTTCAATCTCCTCTATACACAATCTTTTCCATCACATTCACTCTCTGTAACTCTTTTCGTGCTATTGGCACTCCAGCCTTGCTTGGGGTGAAATGCTTAAAAAAAAGTGACTTTTCTTTTTCTCCCTTCTATTTTATTTCTGTTAATGTTTTTTTTTCTTTTTCAAATATAAGATATTATCGGAATCCGTGTGACTTGCATTTCAAAATTGCTAGAAAAAAATTGTTAAATATCCGACCAACGTGGAGTCATAAAACTGAAAATTATTGCTAGATCAGATTGCCAACTGCTTTTCCCGCTTATGTTGCAAGTAAATATGACACTTATTTTAATTCAATTGTAATGCTTAATATCAAATTTAAATAAATCTTATATTATTTAAATTTTCGATAAGAGGCCTGAAGTCGAAAGAAAAGAGAAAACAAATTCAGCCAGGCATAATATTAAAATGAGGAAAATAATAAAAAAAACAAGAAAATTAGTTCAAACGACAAAAGTACAATGATAACTATGTCATAACAAGTAAACACAAAAGGCGATAACAACAGTACAAGAAGAAAATAACAAATTGCCTCGTTAATTGCTTTTTAAGTTGGTTTTAGCTTCCAGACCTAAAATGAAATTAAATCTATCAAGACAATGTATACAAGAGAATATTCTATCGATATTTTCTGTTAGTATTTCAAGTAAAATTGGATTTGGCCATAACAGTTTTACCTTTGAGCAGAAGATTGCTCGCAAGTGAATATAGTCTTATGTCTGCTTTTATTACTAAGTTTTAATTGAAAAAATGAAAGTAAAATGATTTCTCTGAGCCATTCATCTACTTAGGAAAATCTACCAATAAACTCAACATTCTTAAAAAATATTTTTACTTGTGTTCCGGAACTTACTCCTGGTCTTCTTAAAAATATCCAACCACGAGGCAAAATCATTTATATGTGATATTTATCATAATTTTTTCCAATTCTCTAAGAGTCTAGTATTCAGCAGTGATCAAATTCCTTACACGAGGTTAGTGGTTTGCAGAGCGGATTTGTTAACCACCAAACATCGATCGGAACCCGTCACTTGTAATATATATTTTCTTAAATGTTATTAATTAGCTTAGCGTAGTGGTATGTTTGGGATAAGTTTTGAATCCAGTTTTATATGCCACAGAAATTGGTCTCTGAAAGCATTTTTTTCAAGATAGTAGAAGGATTTAAGTATTTATTGAGAGCACAAAATCTTTGGTTTAGTTTTATTAAAAAGGATAAGTATTTTTTTAATTTTCAATATTTAATTTTTTAACAACATTTAATATTACCGTATTATTTTCTGCCATGTTTCAACTAACATTATAATTCCATTTCCCCAGACATTTTATTTTAAGTTTTCTAAACAACCAAATACAATTGGCGAATTCTGAATGTCTACCAATAAATTATTATGTTTTCATTAATAGTAATGGAAATGGTCAGATTAGCCGTTTCCTTATAAGGAAACATTCAGCATCCATTGACCGATCCTTTAGATTTAGTGTTAGTTGTAATTTATAAAATCTTTCGTTTAAATTTTCTTTCGGGAACATATATTTCTCAGGTCAATTAATTGTGATCGCTCTTTCTAGTATTGATGTTGGTTTTCTTCTTAACCTTTTATTTGAAGTAGTGTGGAATGTCAATTCCTTCATTATGTCATTATTTTCTCTACTCAATCACAGTAGCTCTTATTGCTTTTTTCATTATTGATGAGAGTTTCCTTCCTAACCTTTTGTTTGAAGTAGTTTGGAATATCAACATCTTGATTATGTCATTATTTTCTCTACTCAAGCCCAGAAGCTGTTATCACTCTTTCCATTATTGATCGGAGTTTCCTTCCTAAGTTTTTATTTGAAGTAGTGTGGAATGCCAACTTCTTCATTATGTCATTATTTTCTCTACTCAACCCCAGTAACTATTATCGCTCTTTCCAGTATTGATGGAGATTTCCTTCCAAACCTTTTATTCGAAATAGTGTGGAATGTCAACTTCTTAGTTATGTCATTATTTCCTATTTGAGTTACATTTACTTTTCATTCTAGTTGTGGCTGCTGATAAAAGTATATGATATACAGTCTATTATTTGACAAAGTTCTTTGTGATTCTGTATTCTAAGAAATCCGACAAACGCATAAACTAAGAGGGAGGAAAGGAGATCATTATTGTTAGTTAGCAGGATAAATAGAATATTATCTAAGCAAACAAATATAGAACTTTGTGAGATACTTTCTTTACTGGTGATACGTAGACCTAAAGAGTACAACTATTCAAGAAACCGATTTCACTTTTCCTGTACACTATAAACACACACACACACACATATATATATATGTTTCC